TTTTTCTCCGGTACCAGGAACCGAACTCACGACCTTGCGCTTGCCAGGCAGGCGCTTTTGCCGCTGAGCTAAATCCCCAGCCCCAGACTGCTTAATTTTTAAACGTACTTTATTCCCATAGCTATCCCCGTGCCGGTAGCAACAAACCACAAGAATCAGAAACAAGATGAATATTTCTGTCCCTCTTGGAGCTCTTGATGACACACTGTACCCTTTGCTGGCACTGAGCACTTGAGTCTCCGTTGGGGGCCCTTTCCTGGGGGCTGTGAGCACCCAGCACATGGATCCCACCAGCCACAGTAGGTAGGCCTGCACTGCAGCTCTAGCTGCCCCCCTCCCAGGAGCAGCTGTGTCCCCGCTGGCCCTTCCTGTCTGAGCTGTGGGGTATTTTTAGCACTGAATCCGGAACCCACACCACAGCAGCTGCTCTTGGCCAAAGCGCAAGCACAACAAATCACGCAGGTGGACTGTGTCAGGCCGGGGCTGCAGAGGGAACTACCTGGCACTCACCCTGGCCCTGACCCTGGCCCTGATGATCCTAGCAGAATCCAGATGTTCTAAGAATGAGCTGGCCTCCGGGAACCATGGGGAAGGAGGAGGCAGAGGCAGGCAAGGAACGAGTAATTCTAGCCAGCCTGAGGTGGGGTTAGCCAGTGCAAAGGCCCTGTGGTAACTGGGGGGGAAGGGGGTTGAAGATGAGAGGTGGCCTGGGACAAGGAGAAAGGGGAGGAGGAGGAGTTGCATGCCATGTGAAGCAGAAAGGAGGCCAGGTGGATCTCTGTTCACTGTCTCAGGCGGCTGGGAGCCATGGGAGGGTTTAACTATGGAAGCAGGGTCCCAATCTAATAGCTGCTTTTTGGAGGAAGGAAGGTACAAGAGTGGAAACAGTCATCCCGGCAGAGGAGGAGAGCAGGTCCCAGCCTGGCAGCAGCGGTGTGCAACAGGTAGGGATCCATGGCCCTGGTGGCAGGGTGGGCGCCTTCAGGGTGTGCTGGAGTCCAGCGAGGGAGGTCAGGCACTTGATAGAGAGGGGAAGAATGGGCCGCAGGGGTCAAAGCCACAGACCTTTGTCCGCACCTGAGAGTGGAAGAGAGGGCGGGAGGGCCAGAAGATGCCCAGGCTCCAGGGAGCCCCCATGCTGGGCGGAGACACAGGTGAGGGCCCTGTCTGAGAGACCACCCATTGGCTTTGGGCAGGCCAACTCTGGGGTGCTGTGGGAACACAACTGTCTTGGAGAAGCCCTCCTCAGCCGCACAGTCCGCTGCTCCCAGCTCCTAGGCCCTGAAGCCATCACACCTGAACTTGGGCGCACCATGGCCCTGGGGTCTGCAGAGT